TTGTGACATTGTCACAATGTACTTAAGTTTAGTAGTGTCTTGCCTCTGTACATCATACTTTTCCTGTTAACAGTGAAGTTGTGCTGGTCATCTAACTTGTTTGGGAGAAAATTTTTTAATTGAAATAATATGACTCCCCATCCAAACTGGAAGTTTGTGTACAGTTAATAAGGTTGTCCTTAAGCTTTCCATATCCGCTCTTAACTTACATTTAGTTAATATCATTCTTGAGATTAAGGAAGGACAGACAGCAGACGACAAATGGGAATTTATGGTTTACAATTTTTTCAAATTGCAGCCCAATTAAAGTGTAAAGACTGAAATCAATATTCAGTTTTTACACTTAAATTTATAATCTTGAAACTTACAATTAAAAATATTTTTATGTGCTGAAGTATCTTATTTTAAACCTTTAAACGTTCAGTAAGTTTAAATAACCACCACTTTTCTTTTAAAAAAACTTTTCATAATTTTGATCTAATGCTTTCAAAATTTAATAATCTTAGTCCATTTAAAGGTTTGTTGGTTTAAAAAAAAATAACAAGATAAATTAAATTATAACTATTTACTAATAATTTTTAAAATAAAATTTGCTTGTTTACAATTTTTCATCACACTGTACAACTAATTCCTTAAATATACCTGTAAAATATTATATGTATAGGTGAATACCTATGTAAACCATGGCAGCCAATTAAAATTTTCTGGAAGTACAAACTAATGGATTTTTCAAATCCTGTATTTTAAAACTTTTAACTTTTGCTTTCAGTTTTGTGTTGGTTCATTCAAAAGAGCTTTCATTAGTTTTCCAAGGATAGCTATTCTTGAACTTCTGTAAATTTAATTAAAATTAAATAACTGTTTTATTTGTACTTCTTTTTATCAAGTGGTTTTTCTTTCATTGTGTTGTTAACTGAAAATATTTTTGTAGATTAAAGTTTTATTGGGTTTTTTAATGTAAATTTTTTTTATTTACTTTTTCTTCACCTGATGGCAATTTATTTGTCACATTCATTAACAATTCTCTTTTAAGAGAAATTTCAAGATTAGATAAATTATATCTGATGATATATAAAATTTTTATTTAATTTCATTTTACTATCTTATATTAAATTTTTTAAATTAGCATTTTATTTTCTTTTAAATTGTTGAAATGCAGTGTACTTTTTTAATAGAAATGATCATGTTCAGTAAAACTAAGTGATTGTCTTATAGATAAATATTCTATGATAAATAGCTAAATATACTAAAAGCAACATTTTTTTTTTGTTTTTTGAAAGCAAGTTGGATATTTTCATGTAAAATTAAACTTTTAAACTGTTTTTGGTGATTTTGATTAACAGGAACCTGAGTACTTCTGAGTGAATAAATAAATAAGAGTGCAGTGTATGAAATTTTTGGTACATAATCTTGCCATATCATGTTAAAATTTACATTTTGATTAAGGCTTGCTGTATAGTAGTATTAATAGCTTCTAAAGTTACTAGACTGACAAAACTTGTAGTTTGTGATCTGAATATCAAAGCCACTGATATCATGTGAATGGTAAAAATTTATTTAAACTGAATTACTGATAAATGATCTTGATCATCAGTACAACTACCAGCCATGAATACTCATATAACAACTTAGAGCTAATTGATAATTCTGTTTAGTTCTTTGTTCATTTCGTTCAATTAAATCTTTGAAAACATAATTTAAAAGTTTATATTTTTCTGGTAACTAAAATCTAATATAAGTTTTTAATTAATTTTATTATTTTAACTTCAGCAGAACTATCTAGAAAATAAAAATTTATTGAAAAACTTTAATGTCTGTGTCCTTTGAATACAAATGTTTTTGTATTTAATATACTTCCACAATTACTCTGTTGTAATATATTTGTTTTGTCTAAGTATTAAAACCATTTATATATTAGTTTTTTTGGCTTGCAACATTTAATTTTATTTGTTATGGTTTTTTAGAATACTTTGTCTTCTGTTACACACTTTGTTTTTTTTTTTTTTTTTTGTTAAAACTCTCTTCTCAATCATTTTATGTTAATTTTATGTTTAGAATCTGGAGAAATGATAGAATTTGGTCTCAACACTGAAATATAATGCAATTATAAAGTCCTCCTGCAGTGAGTGGGGGGAAATAGGAGTTTCCAGGAATGAAGTAATGGTCTGCATGTGACATCGTGTGTCAAAAGAGTTAAAGTAAGTTATGACATCATCACTTGGCCAAGCCACATAGGCATGCCCACTGTGGAGGGACTTCATGATTGTACTGTAGTTATGCATAAGAAATAATAAATTGGCCTGTTCCTAATGTTTTATTTCATTATGCATAGAAATAAAATGGATATAAGTAGGAAAATAGATTGATATCAATCTATTCATAAATTTTATTGATTGGTTTCTGTTTTAAGTTAATGAGCTAATAAAAGTTCTTTTAAGATGATTTCAACATTGTTGTAATCCAAACATGATATGCTTTATAATAATTTTGATTATATTGATTAAAAATTATTATTATAATATATATAGATAATATATATATANCAGTCATATTTGTAGAAGAAATATGTTGGAATAATAACAAATAGAAAATTATATGAAAATTATTAATTGTATGATATTTATTTTTTATTTAGAATACACATTTTATATAAATTTACAATAATGGATTATAAAGATTTTAAAAAATAGATTAAGAATAAATATTATTTGAAAATATCATTAAAGGGAAAAAATTATGTAAAAAGCATTTATATTTGTCTATTTAGAATCATTGTGCTTTAATATAAGTTCAGCACAATCACAATGTATTGATGATAGAATAATCATATAAATATAATTATTTTTTTAAAATTCTCAAGCTATAATTTCAAAAATTTTTATATTAACCAATTGATAATTTTTATTGATAAATTATATTTAGTTTAAACTATCGCAAATGATAACTTTATATATTAGACAGAATTTTTAAGTTTAGCTAATATAATTAAACATTCTAAAAAAACTATTGCTGTTATACTATTTTTAATTTTTAACACAGCATATTTAAATTAAATATTTGTCATATTTTATTGTTTTATAATTTTTTAAAAATCTTTTTATAGTGTATTGTTACTTTTGTTTCTATGATATAATAGTTAAATTTTGCAAAAAAAAAAAAAATATGTATTATACAGTAGAGCCTCGAAAACTCGGCCTAATGTGGACCGAAGTGTGGCTGAGTTTGTGAAAATGCCAGGTTATCGGGAATGGGGTTAAAAAAATAAGTATGAGCGTTTCCTCATAAAATACTGTACTGTACTTGTATGTATTGTTTACTTGAGAATACAACAGAGAATAAACTGCCCAAATACCCTTAAGCAAAGGAAAAGTACAGTACGTCCTTTATGAAGGAATAGAGCCTTTACTATATGAAAATGAAAATTAATTAATACACTCTGTACAGTAATATACCTGATAAGACAGACATCAGAAAAATACTTTATGAGGCATAAAGCTGTCTTTATCATGAAAATTAATTAACTAAGGATTTTTTTGCCCTGCCAGGGTGTGTCCGAGTTATCCGGAGAGCTGGGTTATCGAGTGCCGAGTTTTCGAGGCTCTACTGTATTAGACAAAATTTCTAAAAGAAATTTTAAATTAAAATTAAATTATTAAAATTAACACAAGATGGTGACTAACTGCCCACTACTAAGCAGAATTACTTAATGTCTAATTAATAAATAGCTAAAAATTTGCTTCTTGGTCTTCTTTTGAAATTTTGTGGTTATCAAGCTTCTATACTAGCTTCTAGTCTGAGAACTTATTGCACCTTCTGGGGAATGTTTTCACTTGGACACAAAGAGGACTTTTTTTTTTTGCTATTCTACTTTATTAAATAAGAATTTTGGACAGTTATGTCTTTCATCAGTTTTTAAAGTAGATGCCTTCCACTTTCAAGTTCTTCTACAAATTCACTGAAGACTAATAATTCAACAGATTATCTGGTTGTGATTAGGATAAATTTAATTGCTATAATCCATAATTTTAACAGGTAGCATTTTAAAATTTTGTTAAAATCTGATAATTACAATGCCACTGGCAATTTTATTGAGCAGTGAGTAACATTGAATATTAAGCATGGGATATTATTTTGTCATTAAATTGGGTCTATGGCAAAATAAGAGTGGTGGAAAGTTAGAACATTGAAATGTATAGTTCTTGAGAAATAGTAGTCTTTTGATCTAATGATCTGAGAAAATTTTTGCTGGATTCAGTGGCAGGTTAACTCCCTACTTATTAGTTAAACCATCCCAGAATTCTAAAGCAATCAATTTAGATATTTATAATTTAAATTTATATATATGTATAATTACATTTATAGAGGTTACATTTCACTATTATATATATATATATATATTAGTGAAATGTAACTTCTATAAATTTATTATCTCAAACAATGGCATAATACTGAAGGCCTCTTAATAACCTTCAGTCAGCATATATTATGTATGTTGGCTTTTTATATATTGCAAAGTGTGATTTTGAATCTTCAACACCTGGATGTTGGCTGTTATAGAATTCAATTCTATAACAGCTAATGAGTCAATTTTCTTTTTTCTATACACAAATTAATTAATCACAGTAAATTAGTAAAGTTAGCTTAAATTATCTAAATATTACAGTTAAGAAATGGTAATGCTGCCTCTCCAATAATAATTTAATTAATTAAAATAGCAATATACTTTAAAGTAAGACAGCTTGACTCATTTAATTTATAATTTGATGACTTAATGTTTACTTTAACTTTGGGTGTAATTTAATAGATTTGCTTTGTCAAATATATAAAGTAAAATTAGATTTTTGGTTATGTATTTATTTATATAAATGAAAAATGATTGAAAAAAATTTTGAATAGAAGTTGTTTTCAAATATTGGTTGATAACATTTGAACTAAAATTTTATCTTTTTATTTATTTTTAAGACTGAAATATTTTTTATTTATTTAAAATATTAATATAGATGCAGCGAGCTCCTGTTGGCAGTGTTTCTTCAGGTCGTCCCATTAAATGTGTTGTTGTTGGAGATGGTACAGTAGGAAAAACATGTATGCTTATATCTTACACAACTGATAGTTTTCCTGGAGAATATGTTCCAACAGTGTAAGTTATTTTTCATAATTAAAATAATTATATATAATATTTCATGAAGTTTATAAAAAAAATGAAATTATTCAATTTCAGTTTTGATAACTATTCAGCAGCTATGATGTGTGATGGTATTCCTGTAAGTCTTGGATTGTGGGATACAGCTGGTCAAGAAGATTATGATAGATTACGTCCTCTTTCTTATCCACAGGTTATTTTTAATGCTTATACATTAAATTATAAATTTTAATTAAATTAAATAAAATTTTTATCTTAACATTTGCAGTCAAAATAGCACTAATTTACAAAAACTTGTCACAACAGTTAGTGTTTTACTTAAAACTTAAAGCATTTCAATAACAAATTTTTTTTAACATTTAGTTTTATGATTGTTTTCTTAATTTATGAATAATTGAAGTTGCAAAATGTTGAAATTAAATGACAGTCTATTACTATACTGAACTTCATTAACAAAAATAATTAGTGACCAAGAAATTGTTGATGTGATTTATAATGCAAATTACTTTTAACATCATTTTATGCATTAAAAAATTATAATAATAATTAGAAAATATTTGTTTTTTTGATTACACCAGAACTTATTTATAAATTTACATTTACATTAACCAAAAGCTGCATTGCCATTTGCACCTGTTTCAGATATACAGTAGAGCATCGATTATCCGACACAATTGGGGACTCAGGTTGGTCGGATAACTGAAAAAATCGGATAACCGAAAAGAAGGAAAAAAATACATTATTAGTATAGTATATTAGTATATCCCATGTAATTAGTTTATTAGTATATCGCTATTAACCAACTTTACGTTGAATTTTCATCGATGTTTAGCCTAACAGATTTTTTTAAAAATAATAATTGTCACTATTGTATTGTTAAAAATTATTTTCAAATTATTTTATTGCTCACGAAACAAACAACCACTCATAATTAGAAAATTAAGTCTTGTTTAAATATAAGCCTCCCTTCAATGGTCGAGCCATTGATGCCAGCTAAAACACGCAAAAATTTAACAAAAATAATAATAAAGTAGCCAAGACATAGTGAAATATTGTAATGCCATATCTCTAGCGGACATTTGAAATTTGCTGACTAGAATGGTCGGTTAACCGATGTGACAGTTAATCGGGAGTCAGATAATCAATGCTCTACTGTACTCAGATTGACTACTTACACAAGTTGCTTCAATTTTTTTTTTTCAATTGTTTAATTGTCAATAATGCTTGATATTACTTGATACATTATTTGATATTCTATATTTTATCGTCATTTCCATTTTAACTTGCAATCATTTGCTTTATCCAAAAGTTTTTTTGTATAGATAAACTTTGCTGAATGAATTCTAAACGATTCATTTTGGAGAGAGAGAATAAGTCTATTCTGCAGTGGATGTTTAAATTAGGTACAATTTATAATAGGTGCCAGATAAATTTTAAAGAAAATGGAAAACACTTAAAAAGTGAAATCTTCTGAACCAAAGATAAAATAAAAATAAAAAGTTGCAAAATGTATAATGTGACATTCTTGATAATTTCAGATTAACATTATTAATTAATTAGAGTATTAAAATTCTTGGAGAAGTCAGATCACAGAATAATTTGGTCTCTGTATTACTGTAATGTGATTAGAATGTCCAACAGAAGAATGAGACATTAGTTTTTGGTTTTTGAATTGACTTGTTTGCTGTCATATGAGCTTTTAAAGATATTGCATGTAAGAATTTTCAGTATTCAAATACCTAAGTTCTAGGAGCAATGAAACTTTTTATAAATGAATAATTCTCAGCTTTTGCAATTGAATTCTTCCATTTTTGGTTAGAATCAGTTTGGATAAAACCATGTAATAAAATGTTTCATACATTCATTTTTGTAGTAAAATTATTTTATTATATATGTAACTGTGTGATATTTGTCTAGTATACTTTAAAGAAAAAAAAAAAACTAAAACCTGTTCAAAATGGAAATTTGGCATCATGTGATACCAGTTTATGCAGATTTTACTATATACATTTATATATTTTCTTTCTCTCCTGTGTGTGCTAAGAGGTATTTTTTAATCACACCATTTGTGGCTCATCTAGGGGAGGCAGTGGGATTGGCCAGATGATGAAAAGCACAGGACCCAATATATCCAGGTCAGAGTGCTTATGAAAATTCCTGTGGTTGTTTATGCAGATTCAATACTGAGTCTCCAGAATGATAAGCTGATATCATAACCATCTCTACTGAGGCATCAATGCATCACTGGAACTTTTAGGTGCTTAAATATGTCAGCATAGTATATGATAAAATGACAGACTACAGATTTAAATGTCATTTTACAAGAATTGCCAGTCAAAATAACAAACATGGTGATTTTAACAGTGACCTATTATACATTATTCAGTTTCAGATCTGTAATCATCAGCAAAATCACCAAAATAGATCTTTAATATAGTGTTATAACTGTAGACATTAACAATCAAAAAACTAAGATTGAAAGAATAATCTGGACACAGTTGTTAGAGAAATTCATGAAGTAATGTTACAAAATAAATTAGAAATGCTTAGTAAAAAGAAATCCCTGACAATTTTAAGAATCACTGCTGTCTTACTCATTGATTTTCTAGCATCTAAATCTAGCTAACAAAATAAAATCAGTGATTTAAAATCCAGGATAATGATGAAAGTCGTCATATCTGTTTAAATAGAATGTAATGGAAGAAAAAGTAAATACAGTACAGTGTTGATTTGATTAGCCAAAAATTAATGAACCTAAGCCTACTTCAGAATATTAATTCCAGAAATTATGAAGTTTTTACATAATAATAATTGCTGTTCATCTCCTATAGGTCACTATTGAGCTATTATTACTATTGTTGTTGTATTAGAATTAATATTTTTATTTTAAGGTATTTATCTTTTTGTTCTTTCCCCTACCAAATGTGATTGATTATCCAAAAAATGAATTATCCAAAATTGTCCCACCTTGGTTATTTTAGATAATTGATACTCTAAGTATATAAATAACAATAAGAAAAACAATACACATTTATTTCATGAAATCACCATCATGATATAATTGTTTTTTATTGTGTTGTCTTTTATAATAATGCAGTAATATGGAGTAAATTATTGGGTTGTTTGGAAAGTAATTTCGGTTTTTTTACCACTAGACAGATTAGTTGTATTTTTTCCGCCGTTCTCATTCTAAACCGTATTATCATTATATATTTTGACAGCTAGCATTTTAAGGCTTATTTGTAAAAAATTTTGTTTGATTTTGTGCAATTGTTTATTTTTTGTGTCCCATCAAATATGGAAGATCAAAAGCAGCATTTTTGGCATATCTTGCTCTTTTATTACCGAAAAGGTAAGAATGCTGTTTAAGCGAGAAAAAAAAAATTGTGTGACGTGTATGGAGAAGATGTATTGAGAGAATGACAGTGCCAAAACTGGTTTACAAAATTTTGTTCTGGCAATTTCAACATTGAAGATGCACCACATTCTGGATGGCCAGTTGAAGCCAATGAAAACAAAATAAAAGGTACTGATTGAAACAAACTGCTGAATAACAACATATGAAATCACTAAGATTAAATTTGTCAAATTGAACTGTTTATGATTACTTGAAAAAAATTGGTTTCATTTCAAAGCTCGATATATGGGTTCCACATTAACAATCAAAAAAACTAAGATTGAAAGAATAATATGGACACAGTTGTTAGAGAAATTCATGAAGTAATGTTACAAAATAAATTAGAAATGCTTAGTAAAAAGAAATCCCTGACAATTTTAAGAATCACTGCTGTCTTAAAGAGAGATGCTCTTTGGTGGAATTTTAAGAAAATTTTTTTTTTGGAGATTTTATCAGAGAATTTAACAATTGATTCAAAAGTGTACTGCCATCGAGTAAACAAACTGAGTAATATCATCAAACAGAAAGGGCAGCCAGAATTGATCAACAAAACAGGTATAGTGTTTTACCATGATAATGTCAAATTTCAGAAAGTTTGGTAACTAGTCAGAAACTGTTATAACTTAGATGAGAGGTGCTATCACACCAACCATATTTGCCAGATCAAGCACACACAGAATATTACTTGTTCCAGTCTATACACATTTTTTTTAACTGTAAAACATTTACTTGAAATGACAATGTCAAAAAATAACTTGGATCAGTTTTTTGTAAGCAATGATCAAAACTTTTATGAATGTGAAATCAGGGTACTACCAGAAACGATGACAACAGGTATTTGACCAAAATGGTCAATATATAATTCAATAAAATATTTATTTATTATAATAATAATGTGTTTTTTCCCACGAAAAAAAATGAACTTACTTTCCGAACTACCCAATAATATTAATTTAAAATAAGAATTTTACTTGTCCCACTTTCTAAATATGCTTGCTTAATCATATAACAAATGTATTTTTCTATAATTATTTATGATATTTTAAATATACCTAAACCTAAAGTTACATGGTATTCAAATTGCATGATTTTGGTTTAATGTAGTTAGAAAATTACAATAAAATTTCATTTTACATATGTTCAGTTTAGCACAATATTTTAAAATTAAATATTTTCATTGATAAAATTTAATGTTTAGATCTATGCTAATTATTATATTACAATTGTGTTGTTGCTGTTTTCAATGTATACTGTAATAATTTGGTCTCTGTATTACTGTACATTCAAAAAGATGGATTCTTCATTTTGTACTACATTTTGACTTTACTGTATGCATAGCTCCATATCAGAAAATTTATAAAGAATTAAATGGAAAAAAACACTGGCTTTGATAATGTATTTTAGATTAGATCCTCAATATCTTTGCTAAGCTAATTATAATAAAAGGAGGGAAAAAAGGATTGGAAGTGATAGTAACAGAAATGACATAAGATTTTAAACATTTTTTCTGAAAAAAAAACAGGAAAAGTTTTTATCAAGAAGCAAAGAAGATATAGAAAGAAGTTTCATTTTGATCATTTTGTATAGGTTAAAAAATGGAACCTTGGAACATTTTGCCATTTCTCTTACAAATGTTAATCTTGATTTACATGATTTCATTTTACATGGAACCAGTCTACTGTACAGTATAACTTGAGAGTTAGGTATATATTAGTGATGTAACGAATATTTGGTTACTATTTTGTATTCGGCCTATTTTTCACTATTCGGCTGAATACCGAATATTTAATCAGTATTCGGCCGAATATCGAATACCTAAAAACAGGAGTAATAAATAACAAAAACACAGTAAATTAATCATTTTGATATTTAGATTTAATGTTATCGAGTTAGTGTTGTTTGTTTATATTTATTTATAACTTGTAACATGCACAAAATAAAAAAGAAAATAATATTAGTCACATGTATTCACAATTTATAATTACAAAGATCAGCACACGTACACGTCTATCGTTGGAGAATCCTCGCACATCTGAGGGTCTGACCCTGCCTATCCTTCTTTTTAAGCGCTCGTCTTTGCTCTTCCCTTTCTCTTTCCTCTATCGCTCTAATCCATGTATGCCTGTGCATACATCATAATACGCGCTCACGATACTTTCGATTCGTCACTTTTCCGTCGTAGAGTTCCCATTTTACAATTACGTGACTCAGCCTGGTGATAACGGAGAAAAGAGACAGATAGGACGTCGATATAAGTCACAGTTATGATTTCACAGATTCGAGACAGCTTGATAGCCCGAACGGCCCCAGGCTTTCGCCCGTGCACGCTAAGTGACTTTCATTACAAGCATTTAGCTTTCCGAAGTCTATGACAACAATTGTTTGGCATTGACGGCCGCGAATTTCGTGCCAATAAGCTGCCTCGACTTGTTCGATTATGTTATCAACTCAATTTCATATTTATTTTCACATTTTCACTTCGCGGTCCTTCTCTGTTCTTTTTCCGTTATTTACACGTGTAGGTCATTTCATTGTTATCCACATTTGATATCATCATTTATCACATACTTCCATGACACTCTTGTCTGTCTGCTACAACTGCCAAGAATTAACACGATTGACGAAGCATAGTGACAGCGGGCCAATAGAGAGCAGGATCCTTGCCATAGTGCGGTTTGCGCGCCAATTTTCGTACGTGCGTTAATCAAGCCGAATAGTTTGGCCGAATATTCGGCTATTCGGCCATGCTCCTGGCCGAATATTCGGTATTTGGCCTGAGGCCAAATATACTATTCGTTACAACACTAGTATATATATTAGCAAACAATTGTGAAAATCTTATCTGAAAGTTTACCAAGCCATATTATTTTGGTTTATTGAAAAGAATGTTGATTGCAAAAGCATATTTTAATGAAAAATTTTAATGTTTTTTAACATATTTATATTCTATGAATGTTTTATATAAGGCATATAAAATATTTTTATATAATTTCAGACTGATGTCTTCCTCATATGCTTTAGTGTAGTCAGTCCATCTTCTTTTGAAAATGTAACTTCTAAATGGTATCCTGAAATTAAGCATCACTGTCCTGATGCACCTATTATACTTGTTGGTAAGTCATGCAATAAACTAACATTTTACAGAAAATACATGTAAATGTATTAAATTGATTTTGTAAATGCTTTCTTCAATATTATAATTATTTTGTCATTAAAAATTTAAAAGGTACTAAGATAGATTTGAGAGAAGATAAAGAAACTCTACAGCAACTTTCAGAACAAGGTCTTTCTCCTATTAAAAGGGAACAGGGACAGAAATTGGCCTCTAAAATTAGAGCAGTTAAATATTTGGAATGTTCAGCTTTAACTCAGCGTGGTTTGAAACAGGTATTTATTTTATATGTAATTTTCCAAAATTTATTTCTGAATGATGCATTTTTACCTTAGAAACAATTTGGTATTTATGTAACAACAAAAATTAAGTTTAATTTAATGCATTTTATTTTGATAAATTCAATTAATTCAGCTAATACTAATTCAATAAAAAAAAAATCTATAACAAGCTTCACCTTGAAATTTTTTAAATATCAATCTAGGTATAACTCTCTGTAAATTAGTTCTTAGAAAAAATTTATTCCCTTTTCAAGTTAAAATTCTTAAATGATATGCAGAAGTCTTTCTCTCATAATTCTAATCTTGTACCAGGTCAACTGCAATACTTCTGATAAATTCTTTTTTCAAACAGTTTTGTAATATTTGACATGTTATTAACCTTTTTTTAAAAAGAGTTTTTTTTCATACTGGCCAGATAGGACTGAAGTCAAATTTCTTAGAATGAGAGTCTATCAATATGAACCACTTTAAATTTGGATTTTATCATCTCTACGTCTGAAGAAAATATCATTAACATACTGTTATTATACATATTCACATCATTGGAAATTTTACAGCAGACTAATGATAGACACACAGTACAGTTTATTGTTTCATAGAAAATTTTTCATTTTTATAAATATTCTACAATAACAGTTGAACTGTTTTAATGTAAAATATTTTTAATTCAAAAATTTTATTTGCTTCAGATAAGATAGTGTATAATTGTAATTTTCAATTAGTCCATGGTCTTAACATATTGTTGGTAGTGGCAGTTGTCTGGAACTTGTTTGTTCTATTGCAAGATAAAATTATTTATTTTCCTATTTTTCTTTTTGTCATGAAGCCGTCTTTATTCAATATTTCTTATAATTGTGTAGAACTGAAATTAAATAAGTATAAATCATTTACTATGTCATTTGTTGCTTGCTTGATGATCAAGTATTTTTGACCCTGGAAAATTCTATGGATCAGTGAATCCCTTTTTTAGTTGAATGACATGATAAACATTTATACCTGTCATATTTGGTCTGGAGAAAACCTATATGTCTATCAACAAAAATTCTCTTGCATCAGCTAAAAATCACAATGTGAGGCAAATTTATGGACCATTTTTTCTAAAGAAAACACTGTGTCTAAGTCAGTAAATGTGTTGCCTATGTTACTAGGTATGGAGACATACTTTAACACTTTATCACTGTGTTTCAGCAATAAAATTATTTGGATATCACAATTTTCACACAAGATAGAACTTCAATGTGCAAATATTATTGTATTAGATTTCACCAATGATAGTGTGTAACCAATCATTTACAACAGCATGGCAATCATAATCATTAAATTTGACCAATTGTGATTTTTGGTTATGGGGGATACTTGAAGAGCCTTAGAAACTCAAACAAGAGTTTCTAACAAACAAGGAAACAGTCAGAGCATCTCCAATTCAAATGAAATTTAGTGAGCATGTAGCCCTAAATACAAATAGTTCCTTCTCCAAATAATAGGACCCACTTCTCAAACATTTACAAAAAAACAGACCTCTGAAAATTGAGTGTTTAGCTTATAAGTCTAGAAGTTCTATCTATCCTAGAAATGGCAGTAGCCAAGTAGATAAGGTTATAGGTGCTAGAGCAACACAATATGGGTTCAATCTTCCACAACTTAGTTATAGCTTTTTTTTAATATATAGCAATTTTATTATTTTACTGTATCATTAGCATTATTATTACTATTCTTATTCTTCTCATTTAAAGCTTATAAAACGAGATTAAAAATTGTGGCTTTGTTTCCTGTTTAGCAAAAATGAAGTTTCTGTAGATTTAATTCTTGTATGTCATTAAATAAAATTTTTATTTCTTCATATTTATTTTCAAATATTTTCACTCGTGGTTACATACTATGATATCACAAGCAAATAAGCTCCAGACATTATTGTGCATGAATGAAAAAGATGAGAAAGAAGTCTGATATTAAAATAGCATAGTTGTAGCAGTTTTCTTTTAATTGTTAATATTATGGTTAATTCCTTCATGCACTCATGTTTGCTACACTTCAAATTAAACAATATCATCATATCTGAAAATAAATATGAAGAAATAAAAATTTTATTTATTTATTTATTTATTTAATGTGTGTATCAGCGATGCAAATGTTATGTCAGTTTGAAACTTTCCCTGAAAGCAGATGACTGGCATGACTATTGTTAAAAGGAAACGTATGATGTACAGTACAGGGGCAAGCCACTACTAATTTGAGGTGGAGAGCATATATTTACATTAAATTAATTAAAAATTGCAGCCAGGCTTTGTGACAATGTCATAATAAATAATTGCTCATTTTATTTTATTTTAGATTCTGTCAAGTTAACACTTTATTTATTTATCCTTCATATTGCAGTTGAACAGATAATCACATTTTAAAGCATCAGTGTTCTTTGTAACAATGCTCCATAATCAATTTTTTCCCCATTTCTTATCTATGCTGGGCAATTTATGTCTGTCTATAACAGATAGAAACTGGGACCACTCATACAGCTTATAGTATACATCAATAAATCAATCAAATCTACTGTAAATATATAAAATGAATCAATACAGTTTTACTGCTTCTATTAATTTTTGTTTCACCCTTTCAAAACTATTAAATAGTGTAACTAGTAATAATAATAAACTATTATTATAGAATTAAATAGAAAACAAAATATGAACTCAGTTTAAACTTCTTACAGAATGCTAACATTACAGACTAAAAACTTAGTAACTTACATTTAATCTTGGTAAACTATACAAATAGTTAAATGAAACTACTAAGCAAAATAAGAGCATAAAATTTGTTACCACCAAATGATTGTAATTATTTTTATTAACGTTTTTATTGCTGGAAATAATAAGGTGTTGTTTTATTAACTTTTTCGTTGTATTTCTATAGTAACAATATAATAATGTTGATGATTATATTGAGCTTCTTAATAAATAACTTTTTCTTATTTAGAAATTTATTAAAGTTCAGAACCAATGCCTTACAATTAAAGATTTATACTTCATTTTATATTAGGTCTTTGATGAAGCCGTTCGAGCTGTTCTGCGGCCAGAACCACAGAAACGAAGACAAAGAAAGTGTAAAATTATCTAGTTTATTGATTTAAAGTCATATTGATATATTGTCAGAAAATGCAGCTTTAACATAACTGTGTAACCAAAGATGGAAGAATTGTTTCTACATCTTATGCCTAGAAATTTCAGGTTTATTTTAATATCTCTGAAATGCGAGAAAGTAATTTTTTAGTTATTTTTTGTAAGCGTGTTGATACTTGTGAAAAGTACTAATTTTTATTTAGTTCCTAAAACTAAAAAATTTCTTAATTTAATATTCTCTGATAAATGATGTCTTTTGTATAACTCAATATATTTTATATTCATGATTCACATTAGTTATTTGTAATTTATAATAATAGTAAATACTCATGACCAATGGAACATGTTGTGCACTAAAATTTCATATAAAAAGTATATTATTTAGCTATCGGTTTCCATATGAAGTCAAAAATTTGAAATTGAATGTTCAATGCATTTTATTAAAATGATGATTCCAAATCTTTCTATCAATGTATATCTACTTTTTTAATTAATATAAATATGTATATAATCTTTACTAGATATACTTTTGCTACATTTTTTTTCATTAAAGAAAAAGTGCATAATTATGTAAGTTTTTAAATTTATCCTTTATAGATTGTTTTATTATTTTATTTTTCAAAAAAATAAAATACAAATACTTATATATTTTTACAATATTTAAAATAAAATAAAAAAAAAACATTTATTCATTTAAATACATTTTTAAGATTGAAGTACAAATTTCTTTAAATATTTTAAAGAGAGAGTTTTCTTGAGCATACGAGTATATGCTCAACATATATTTACATAAACATTTTAATAAAGAAATTAAATATGATTTTCTTTAATTTTACACTAATTTCAAACTATGTCGAGAGCTCGTGTCCGTTTGAAGAAATAGGATTTTAGTTTCCCCACCCTAAAACAATAATCAAATATTTAAATAGCACAATATCATAGAACTATGTGTAAAAGATCTAGAATGAAATTGTTTCATTTGTTTGAAAATTATTGTATCTAAATGTGTTGTGCAGAATTTTGTACTTATCTGTTAAACTAAGCATTTTCAATCAATGATCTGCATAATGGATCATATTGCTACTTATAAGTATTTAATTAACATAGATTTAATTAATTTGCTTATAAGTTTAAGCACACATTAAGTCATTTAAAGTCTCAAATTCAGTTTTAATTTGTTAGAAAATTTTTTAATAAACAATATATATATTTATTTCACATTAGAATTCAATTGTGTGAAAGCTTTTAGTATATTTATGATTATAAAAGGAAAAAAAAAAAAAACACATTTTGCCTAGTAACAGTCAAACAGATTTGTCCGTTTTACATTTAAGATTGTTAAATACTGTTATTTATATAGTTTTATTTATTATTTTTTTAAGTTATTTACTGATTATGTTTTACTAATATACCTACTTTTTTCATAGAAAAAAGATACAAAAAAGAGACGTTTTAAAGTAATTGGATTTGGAAAGACAGTTGGTTATTCTTTTTGTACTCTTTTTAGTCTAATTAATCTGTTTTATAATCCTTATTTGTTAAAATCTAAATTATCAGATTAAAGAGAAATTTAACTGGAATCAAATTCATTCTTATTTGTAAAATGATTGTTCAAAAAAATGTTTTACAAAGAAAAAAGAAAAATTTTAAGTTCTATAAGAATAATTCTTAGGGAAATTAAAATGGAAAGCTTATTAATTTTGATAGATTTTTTACAGAATTATTAGAAATTACTATACTCTTGTACTTTTTTTCATATTCATTATCATAATTTAGAATAATTGTTGATTATTGACATGTTCTGTGCATTGTTCTCTTGTATAAAAAATGTTTTGATAATCTCCATATTAAATACATCAAAAAGAAAAGTCATAAATTTTCCTAAACTGTCTTCCATAAAAGTTTAAAGATTATTAAATATTTGTTTCTGTTTAAACTTTGAAAGAATTCTCTCAATTGATTTTGTAATTTGTGTTTTTTCTTTTTTTTTAATGATAAAAAGAAAAATATGCAGTAATTATTTGCCTACATCTGTTTCACTGATATTTTATACGACAATGAAGTGACCTTGCAATTTTTCTCCTTTTAACATATTTTATTAAAGGCATCATTTTAAAAATTATCCTTTCAAAAATATTGTAATTAGTTAGTTGTTGGAAATAAATTGGTAGTGTGTCAAATTTAATTGCCTTTAATATTAATATATAAATAGTAAAATCACAGCTTAAATTTGAAAGAAAAGTTGTGATTTTATTAATAATTATCAAAATATTGGCAAAATAAATCATCAGAGGTGGAAATAATAGATTTACAGTATAACAAATTTATAGAATGACTACCATCTCTTTTATAGTTTAGAAATTATTTTGTAAATTATTGGCTGTTGATGGAATATTTTGTTAACTGCACTTGCATTTGCCTTTGATCTCATTGTTCAAAATGTCACAATACAGCCAGTATCTTTGCCCTTCCAATCAAGTGTTTTCAGCTCTAGTTGATGCCAATGGCAGTAAAAATCTAAGTTTAGCATCTGTTATAAACAGCAATAAGTGTTTTATGTATAATACAACTTTATAACTATAGAATTTGATATGTGACATTTTAGTGTATCATCATTTTTTGCCAATATGTAGAATTCATGAATCATTAAAATTCTCAGGAATTTTAATTGAAATGTAATTTCATTTAGTAACTTTTGTGTCATTCATGTATTATTATACTATATTTATAAGGTATTTTGCAGAAAATGTACTTAAATGTAAAAAAAAAAATGAAAATTTAAAATTTTGTATATTTAAAAAAAAAAAAGAAGAAACTTTTTTAATCTTTATTTAAATTTACCCAATTGGTTTATTTTCTATCATGTATAATGCTAATTATATTCTTGTTGAAATCTATCAAAATACTTAAAAAGAAAAAATTTGTTACATTTTCTATGTTGTGCAATAGAAAATTTAAAAGAAATCACTTGTTCTCTCGAATTTGTAAAATGAAATTTGTTTCTTTTTGAATCCATGAACTGAAATTCATCTCTAGCAGAAAAAAAAGAGAAAAATTGACTATTTTTTGAAGTAATCTAGTTGAGCCATTAATATGCAGTGCAACTGATTAAAAAAAATGCCATGAATGGATGCCATGAAAATATATCTTTGTAGCAACTTTTAATTTATACTGTTCATTTGCACAATCATTAATGAATAAATTTGTATGCTGACAGTTTTGAGAAATTTTCTGGTTTGTTAACTTTCACATTTTAATTCACATACAGTAATAAATATTTAATAGTGTTTTAAGTTTGGAATTTGAATAATGTACAGGATACTTTAAAAAAGAATGTTAATAGTTATAGTGTGCAGTCACTACATTAGGGGTTGTACTTTTTTTTTTTTTTTTTTAGAAC